TGCACAGACCGGGGCGGAATATCCCGAATATCAGGAAAAAAAGTTCCAAGTAGCCCGTCATATGATGTGAAGCACCACTATCATACATCCACTATCATACGTTTACTGGACAAATGAGCATTGTTGTGGGCAGAAGTGATGAGGTGTACAATAGACTCCCATTGGGAATCAGTCAACCCAGAAAAAGGCCCGATCGGAGTCAGTCAATGAGAATGTTGGCCTGCTATGTATGGACCCAGAGGTACTAAGTGCAGCCCCATTAGCGAAGGCGGCGCTGATAAGGGTGGGACCACAGCGGCCGACAGCAGCCGGTCCATCACCGCGTCTGCCACGACCAGCTTGTCCCCCAGCGTGAGCAACGATTCCCTCGCCGCGACCGGCACCGGTTTTCCACCAATCAAGATAGCCGATGACCTTAAAACAAGATGCCGCAAGATGACTTGACTTCCCGCAATGATAGCACTGACGAGCCAAGGAAGAAGCCATGATGTATGAGAAATCAGATAATCAGATAATCTCAAACAATATCATGAAGCAGCGCGAGAGAAAAATATGAATCGGATCAGAAATCAGACAAAATAGCAGTACGGGCATAAAATAAAAAGTTCACGTAAACCAAATCTGATCACACCACAAGGTAGCCAACGTCGACAAGAGCCGTGGGCTGAAAGGCGGTGGCGGACGGCGTCGGAGATGGACCACACGCGCCGGAAGAAGCACACAACGTAGTGACGGAGATCAGGCGCGTGGATCCCACACGCGTCGGAGGATGCCAGAGAGGATGGCAGGGGCGGTGAGAGTCGAGGATGGCCGGAGACTTGAGAGAAAAAAATGAGTCTCAGTTGATCGAGACTTGAGATCCGAGAGAAAGAAAAATTTTTGATACCACGACAAATATATGAAAACAATTCATTCACCAAAAACTTGCTTCATAGAGATTTACAAGAGCCGAATATAAAGATACAGAGGAAGTCCTAAAATAATATACACCTAATTTTTAAGATACCAAAATCTATCTATACCAAAAATACAATATTCACAAAATCACCCTAACATAGTTTTCTTTATTGTCAGTTTAGCAGAATACTTTGGCCTTGTTTGGTAATCAGATGTTAGCTGTTAGCTGATTGTATTAGCTGTTTTGACCAGCAGATTGAATTAGCTGTTTTGACCAGTTGATCGTGTTAGCGGTTTATAAAAAAGTATTTGGTAAAATTAGCTTTTTTAATTAGCTGTTAACTTGTAAAATTACTTATAAGGACATCAATATATTTTATCATTTTAATTTATGTTGAACCTATAATTATTTAGGAACTGGAAATAGTTAATATTTTAAATATGTATTAAAGTGGTTTAAATATGATAAAAAAATATAAATAATAACAAGTTGAGAAAAGAGGACAATTGGAATGATTTTAGTTAATATGCTGTTAGCGAGACTTTCC